TCAGCTCGGTGCTCTGTGACCGCCCGGAGGGGTGGGATAGGGAGGGTGGGAGGGAGAGAGACGCAAGAGGGAAGAGATATGGGAACATATGTATATGTTATATGTATAACTGATTCACTTTGTTATAAAGCAGAAACTAACACACCATTGTAAAGCAATTATACCCCAATAAAGATGTTAAAAAATTTTTTTCACTGCAAAGTAAAGGAGCTGTTACAGTGGAGGATTACTGGACTGAATGTCAATATTATGACATAGGATGAGTGTGTTTGGTAATTGCAATCATTGTTGCTTTTGTTGTAGTCATCCATTTACAATGCTTGTTGTCAGTTTATTTATCTCTTGTAAAAATAAAATACAGTGTGTGTGTGTGAAAAAAGAAAAAGAAGAAAACAAAATTATACTGGAGTACAAAGGTCACTTGTAAAGAGGTTATTTGGTACATACAGATTAATACCTTTTGTTTGCTTTTATAAATAAAAAATAAGCAATATGCTATTTTTTTTTACTATCCTAGCTTTTCTATAGATAAACTATTACAATCAAATTCTGTTTAGTTTTTTGACAGCCTCCATTTTATAATTTAGTTCCTATATTTTCTACCTGGTTGTCCTTTCAGAACATGTCATGGGAAGTTTCACTACACCTACTGACACACATTGCTTTCTGACTTCCACAATTAATCCTGAAATTATCACATTTTCATTTCCAGGAAGCCTGAAATATTTTTCATTGAAATTTCATAGAAATCGAGCTATAGAGCTATAGAACTCAATTTACAATGGATTACTAAAAAAAGAGGTAGCATATTATATGGACAACCATAAAAACCGAGACAAGACAGTAATAACCTAGCTTCTCAAAAACCCACTTGCATCACCAGATCATTAGGGACAAGCACTTCTGAGGCATGGGGTGGGGGGATTAGCACTTCACTGCTGCAAGTGTGAAATGCCGGTTTCTATAATCATCTTTATGTCTCTCAAGTGAGACAGAAACTTCCATCTCACTTATGGATTTTAGAGCAAAAAGGATCAGAAACATTCCTTTTGGCCCATATCCTTTTGTGTCTTTTTCCTTCTGACATTCTCTTATTACTTCAGAATTCTTATTTTTTCCGAAAAGAAAAGAGAATAGGTTGAATTTTTATCCCTTTGAAATGCCTCACTAGACCCCTTAAAAAATCACTTAACTGAAGTGAATTTTCACTTATTTTTAAATTTCTCAGTCTCTAAGGAGTGCCATATTCTTTAAGTTACTTTAGTTAGGATTTTACATTTTAGCTTTGCCTAGAGTTGGAATTTCAGATGGCTTAAAGGCAATTTCAATTTTTTAAAAATAGTGGCCTATGAGGTATGCTTAGCCTTTTGAAAGAGAGATGCTTTTCAAAGAAATGCCCCCAAATTTTCACATGCCTATAGACTTACGCAATTTCATAGAGGCTTTCTAAGAAAATTTAATGTAATACAGGTTTCCACCATAATGGTCTCACCTAGACACTCTGCCATTTAAACTTCCACAGGGGCTTGATATTTACAGAAACTTCTGAATCGTGACAACCTTGTTTATCTGTTTGAAGCTTTTTTTTTTTTTTTTTGCGGTACGCGGGCCTCTCACTGTTGTGGCCTCTCCCGCTGCGGAGCACAGGCTCCGGACGCGCAGGCTCAGCGGCCATGGCTCATGGCCCCAGCCACTCCGCGGCATGTGGGATCTTCCCGGACCGGGGCACGAACCCATGTCCCCTGCATCAGCAGTCAGGCTCTCAACCACTGTGCCACCAGGGAAGCCCTGAAGCTCATTTTTATATGCTAGGTTTTACTAAGCAGAGTATAATAAAAGGGCTACTTAAGGTTTTTTGAAGATTTAGAACAAAATATTGTTCCATCACCTATGTCTTAAGTGGAAACACTAAGGCAGGATTTCTCCACCCTGGGCATTACTCCCATTTGGGCTGGACCCTCCCTTGTCGGGGGCTGTGCTGTGCTGTGTAGGAAGTTTAGCCGCATCCCTCGCCTCAACCCACTAGATCTGAATAGCACCCCTCTCTTGCCCTCCCCATCTGCCACTACTTCTGACAACCAAAATATATCTCCAGACATAGCCAAACGCCCCTGGGAGGCAAAATGAGCCTAGGTGAGAAGTGCTGCTCTAAGGCATGCTATTTTGTGCATCTTCAAGATTCTACACTAAGCCTCAATCTTTACTTTTACAGAGAAGGCATATAATGTAAGATGAAAACAAGTAGGACCAAAACATTCTGGCAGGGGAAAATATTCTAAAATATAACCAAGCCGAGATTGTAATTATAAATCAGTCACTTTCTGGGCAGCAAGGTCTGATTTCAGCTGAACCTCAGCTAATTTCAAAGTCATTTCTCTGTAAAGGGCACCACTCACTTTTAGGTTCGTCCCCAACTTTTGCTTCTTTTCTCTCTGAAGTTCTTTTCTGTAGGCATGGATGCTTTCCTCTATGTCTGATAAAGCAGCCATATCACCACTAGTCTTTTCTTTGCTTGCTTCACAACTCTGCACCAAGTTGCTTTCAACCTTAACTAAGGCAGAAGAAAAAGAACCAAGGATAACCAATTCCTTCTCCAAAGTTAATCCCAAATGACCAATTAGGAAATCCTCACTTCCTAATTTTAGATATTTGAAGAAACTGTTTATAGGGAGAACGCTGCTGAGATTATGAAGGCACTGGAACAAAACTGTTTGATTCCTGGAATAAAAAACCAAACACAATATTACACAACTTAGGACAGTGAAAAATGGTCATGTACAACATACTGTAGTAATCAATTAATATTCATTTCTAAACTCTCTAGTAATCATCAGAACCAATAATGCATTCATGTGGTCACTGACATAATTCAGACTGTAGCAATCAAATACGGTCAGCCCCGTGGTTGGCTGAATCGCAGATGTGGAACCCATGGGTATGGAGGGTGGACCATACTACGCCGTCCTCTAGGACTCGAGCATCCGTGGATTTTTGTGTCCACTGGGGTCCTGGAACCAATCCTCCATGGATACAGAGGAACAGCCGTATACATATCCTAAACCAACTCAGTTAGTATTAATCAGGTTGCTTTCTGATTAAAGTTCTTTCTCTGAGTAATAAGATCAAAATTATATTTTTAAAACTTCACTGTGGGGGAGTAGTAAGGGGAAATCTTAAAGTCATTATTAGGCCCTAATCAACCCCACCAAAAAGCCAAAAACAAACATAAAATCAAAACGGCTTCAGTTTCTAAATGAGACCACCTGTTAATTCACGTTGTACCAGGCGATGACCTGGACATGTCCCACAGTGGTATAGAACACTACCACGGGGATCCCTGTTGCACGCACACACACGCACGCACACACACACACACACTTCCCTGGACCAATTCCAATTTGATGTGCATTACCTGGAATAGACTATTAAAATCCCTTCAAATGGTGTTCTTTGTTTCCAGTTGAAGAGTGTCCCATAGAAGCTTCCTGGCCTTTTGCAAAAGCAAATTTCTGGAAATTCTTTGATAACTTCACATTCCATGTGTTCTAAGAGCCATACCTTCATTGAAGTCAGAGCATAGCTGGGTGATATGATTTGAAAACAAGCTCTCTGCCAGGCCGCGAGAAGCGCGAAGACATCTTCCATGTGTTCTATGGCAAAAACATGTCACAAGTGCTGTCATTAAACTCTGCCCATTATCACATAAAGGGAGTTCTTAAAATTTTCTGATTCTATTAGGTATATGATTAAAAAGGACCCACAAAAATTACCTATAGGTTTCTTCTTTGGAAATGTCAGCAGGTATTTCCCACTTGAAAGATCTTCTAGACTTAAAGCAATTCTGCCACACTGAACATAACGAGTTGCAGAATGGTTACCTCTCTCTCTCTCTCTAATCTGTAGCAGCACAGTGCAACAAAAATTACCGAATGCTAAAAGTGGCGAAAGAGATGTTACAGCAGTGATGATCTGCACATGCTCTTTCTCAGATGGTTGTACAGAAACAATGCTCTCCTCTTTCTCTTCCTCACTATCAACACTCAACTTGATTTTTTTTACCTCTGATCCTATTTCATATGGCACTGAGCCTGGTACTGGGGAAGATTTCCTACCCAACTTGATCACCCTACTTTGACACTTAATGAGCAGAAAGCTGGAGTTAGGGGCTTGATCCATTGACAGCGATAAAGTCACATGATTCAGGGACCTGTAAAAAATACAGAGCTCTGTTTACTCTAAAAGCTCATTCTTTAAAATCAAACAGATGATTAAATGCCATACAAACAACAACCAAAAAGTTTTATTCTCTCCTTTCCTAGGAAACATCATTTCAAATGTAAAATATATCAGAATATTAAGTGTAAAAGCCAAACACATTTTTAAAGATTCTGTAATAGCACTTCTCTTGAAATAGGAAAGCAAAGACATTATAAATATGCTGGACTTAAGGAAGTAATTTTTTTAGGAGAAAGGAAAGGTAAAGTAATGCCTGTATTTTATTTTTGAGGTAGATTTTTCTCCTTTCCTCTTAAACAAGAAAAAAAAAACTACTAAGTTTTTAAAAGAGTCGATTTTGGTAATTATTTAGAATGAAATACCTCCATGCACTATATTTCTGTTGGACAGTGCTGTTGTAGAGCATCAAGATAATGTTATCATGTTAGAATTCACTTACACCATCAAAGATGTGGTTTTCACTCCAACAACCAAGCTATCTTCTATTACACGATACCATATCTTCTCTACTAGCTGTTCTGAATCTTGAAAATTATCTGATAACTTTTCATCAAAGGTATAGACAGGATTTTCTTCTTCACCACAAAGAGTGGCAAGACATTCCTTATGGAAAAATGTTTAAATAACTGATTACAAAAAAAAAACAACAAAAAAACCTGCCAAATGTATCAAAACTAAAAAAAATAATATAAACCAGCTTTTGGCTGGGCCTTATGGCTTACATATTTAAAAATAAATTATCATCAATAATATATTATAGATTATACATAATTCACTAAAATAAAACTTATAAAACATATAATTAACCATCTACTTGGATTAAGAAGCATGGCCTGACTGTAAACAAGGCTCTGGGTACCCAACACAGAGCCAGCAGGGATGTAAACCTGGGGTCCATTTTGAAAAATAATCTCACAATATGTGCTCAAGGCATGCTGAGAACAATCCAATCTTTATTTTAGCAGTGACTAACTCTAAACTGTAACTGGAAACTTTTGTATGAATAACAGTGATTAAACTATCTTAGGACAGCTGATCGATTATTGCTAAAATTTTCTTCTTCTATTTTTCCTTATTTAAAAAAAATTCTAGTATAGTTGATGCCAAAATTTTCTTCTTAAAGACCAGGCCACTCACTTATTTCCGCACACATATGGATTTATAATAGAAATGGAAATAGGAGGAGGAGTAATGATAATAATAATACACAACACTTACTGAATGCTTGCTATATGTTAGGCACTGTTCTAAACGCCATTCATGCGTCAATTTGTTTAACCATCACAATAACTCTAGTACCCTAGGTCGGTAGTATTATTATCTACATTTTCCAGATAAGGAAACTTGAGGCACAGGGAGGTTAGGTACCTCGCCCCAGGTCACCCAGTTAGCAAGACTCAGAGCTGGAATCTGAACCAGAGGCAACTGCTTCCAGAGCCCATGTTGCACATTAACCATTACTCTATACTGCCCCTCTATGTGGTAATTACTGAAAAAAGATGTGGGCACTTACATTATAGTGAATGAAACATGTTCCTAGGAATCTGACACTTCTGCCAGTAGCTGTGAGATTTGAGGCAGGCTGTTCACCTGAAACCCGCAGAAATTTTTATTACCTGCCAGAATTGCTCTTAAAGTTAACAATGTAAAGGGCCCAAAACAGTGCCTTGCACGCAGTGGCTTCAATGCACTAATTTGTAACATTTCTTCCCCTTTTCTAACACCGGCAAAATCACCGGGGTCAAGTGGGGAAGGGAAATGGGAAGACTTTGAACAGTGACTTTCTACAGGGACTCGCATGAGGTTTCCCAGGAGATGAGAACAGTAATACAGAAATGCAAGACGATGTGCTTTTGTTTTTTACATTAATGGAATCATATTTTGGGCCAAAATCATCATATGGCTAAGACCGAAATACAGACACAAGGCAAAGAGCATTACAAGAACAGTAAATCTTAAAGGGAGTCAAAGCAAGGCACTAAAGTGACTTGAGGGAAGAAAATGCAACTTCAAGTGTATCTATGTCCAGCTTTTCTTGATTTATCTGTAACTCTGCTATGCTATCTTTCTCTGCAGGGAACGAATGTGCATAAATCCTATTTTTTATGAAGTCAAAGCAGTTTTTGCTCACTTTCTACATTACTATACTGGCACAAGTAACTGCAAGGTACCTGAAGAGGTTCTTACGATGGTCAACCACAAGGGAAACCAGAGTAAAATTATAAAAAGCAGATATGAGGACTAGAAGAGCATAGCAATTTAGGGACATTAAGTAGAGGAATAAATATCCTTAGAAATGAACCATGCAACAGACTAAAAGAATAATTATATTAATGATGAAATTATGTCACCATTAATACAAGGTAAAATAATACTCAGTATATTCTGTTTAAGAAGTCAGAAAACATATACAATTGCCCCTTGAACAAAAGGAGTTTGAACTGCGCAGGTCCACTTATATGTGGATTTTCTTCAATAGTAAATACTACAGTACTACTTGATTGCCAGTTGCTTGAATCTGCAGATGGGGAACCAGGGATACAGATGGCCCAGAGTAAAGTTACTTGTGGATTTTCACTGCGTGTAGGGTCGGCACCCCTGACCCCCATGTTGTTCAAGGGTTAACTGTAATTCACTTAGGAGTAATTTCTATTCAAACTATACAAATAAAACAGTTTAATATTTAAACCTTGTTTAAACAAAAGGACTTGTTCCCCGAGGTTCCTGATAACTGAGATTTTAATATCCTACAGAACAATTTGCAAATTGGTAAAATATTTGGCTTTTTAACCAAATAGTTTTCAATGTAATAAAAGCCCACCATTACATAATCCCTGCCACTTTGCTTCTTGATCCATTGTGCAGCATTTTCTAATATATTCCAATATTCTCATTTAAAGAACTCTTCAATAGCTTATAGGTTTTCAATTCATAAAATGATAAAACGGTCACATGATCAAGTTTACCTCCTCTGCACTTGATGTACTATCATCTTTCCCTTGAAACAGGTTCATTAAAGCCTTGTAAGATTTTGAAATAATTTTTTCCTTAAGCAAGAGATGCTGCTGTAATTCCTGAACAGAAACCAAACCAACCTGTAGAGTATAAAGAAAAATCATTGCCAGAGACACAATTTCAAATGAAACCGAACGTACCAATAATTCAGTATTTTCTCCAAATTTGCTTATTAATTCATTTTTCTACAGACAAGTAAAGAATACGTCTCAGAGCAAAACTATTTACAAAATTTGAGTCTCTAATTACAAAGGAAAATAAACACAGCAAATAATTATAATAGTTTACATATCAAATTGAGAGAATGCCAATGTATTTGCATCTGTTTCACTAGTGAGTTAAGTAATGAATCAATATGAATATGAATAAGTCCAATCAATATTCCTAAAAAGCAAGGCCTACCAACACTCCTACTCCAACAAGAAAACTGTTTTGCTTGTTGAAATAATTTCTGCTTCAAAAAGCAAGACGTATCATTATGAACAGAAATGCTTACCTTTGATTTGATACTGCCTGAAATCCTCTGTTCATATGACCTTTATAGCAAAATTTTAAAGGTAACATGTAACTGTCACACGTTAATTGTTGTGCAAATAAACTCAGTGCTCGGGTCCAGTCTTAACTATCAGGGGGTAAAAACTGGCTCTGAACTGGGCATACAGCAAACCATTCCTTTTATTATACTAGATAAATAGATTTCAGCACTAAGGATGAAACATTCATGAAATATATTTTACTCCTGAAAATTTAAAAAGAGTCGCGTCACTGAACATTTAGAAGCTGCTTCATTTCAGATGGATATCTGAGACTGTTTAAGTATTAATTCAGCTTTTAATATAACATGTTCTTCTAGACTGAAAAAAAACAAGATGCAGCCTGTATTTGCCTTTCTTTTAAATTACATTTTAAGGCAGAAAAATTCTTTTTCCTTTTATCAATGAATAGAAGTTGGAGAGTAAAGACTGAATTCTATCTTCCCTCGGTGCACAAAGCATGTAAAGTGTCTACCTAACGTTTTAAAACTTCATCTGTTAGCCTGCCTCCGAGGGCTCCACGTCATTCACGTTCCATCATTCATTGGCCGAGTAACTCACGACTGTGAGGCCGTGAGATGTACATGTCTGGGGTGGAGAGCCAAGTGTGAAGCTGCTGGAGGGGCAGGGAGTGGAAGAGAAGGCTACACGGGCAGAATGACAATGAGGGCACCCTCAGAAATTATCTGTGGTCTCTCTTCCCTACTCTCTTCAACATGACCCCCACTCCAGGAATAAATCGTGTGTCATTAGACTTCTTAAATATTCTATGTTGTTACAAGTTTTGTTAGAAAATTATGAAAATAAGCCCATGATAACAAATTTAAACAACATAAAAAGACATCTCACCTTCCCTTCCTAGACCCTCAATCCCATTTGCACAGCCAAAAGATTGCTTACCTTTCCAGAACTTTTCCATGTATATGTTAAGGTATGCTTTCATTCTCCTCCTCATAAACAAGACCTACCCCAAACCAAACAGAGGAGCACACTGCACTGCGTGACACTGAATCTTGCTTTCCTGTTCTTATTGTGATCTCTTTCATATGTGCAGAAGAGTTTGCAAGACAAAAAGGCAGTTCATAGACTAATGATGAAGTAGATACCCCTGGAACCACACCCAGGTCAAAAAAGCAGCACTTTAGGAGCAGCCCATGGGCCCTCTCCAATAGAGAACCTCTCTCTGCCGGAGGCAACACTACCCTGGCCTTTCAGGATAACTTCCTTGTTGGTCTTCATCATTTTACCATCATCATATGAACTCCTAAAGAATATGTTTAGTCTGTGTGTGTGTTCTGCTTCTGAACTTTTATAAGTGGAATCGTTCTGTATGTAATCGCTTTTCGAGTCATCTATTTGTCGCTAGTAGCTGCAGCTCGTGCCTTCCACTGCTCTGTAGCATCCCATCGGCTCACTACACCAGTTCCCCTCTCCCTCCCGCTGATGGACAGCTGGGTTATGCCCAGCTGTGGAGCATTACAAACAATGCTGCTGTGAACATTCCTGTACCTAGGCACAAGTGTCTCCAAGGTCCTGGCCTCTCCTTATCCCCTCTAACAAGTGGCTGGAAAATAAAATGCATAGGGGAAAGAACAGTGAGCCGAACTCTAGCTCTAGCTCTGCAAGCCACCTCACATTTCTGGCTCTCCATCTGCTTCCTTGTATGCAAAATGGCGGAGAGGTAGATTTGTTCATCTCTAAAAGGCCTTCCAGCGCTTAGAAATGTTTTGAGCCACATTGAGAGCTAGTGTTAGCATGCGGATACTTGAAACAACATGGACGCTCAGCTATCTCTCGTACGTCCCTGCCTTCCCTCTGTTTCTTTCAGATTTTCCTTCTTTGTCTCTGTTGATACCTTCTAGATAATTTTCTTAACAGTCTAGTTTGCTTATTTGCTCCACATCTCTGAGTCAACTGTTAAACTCATCTGTTTTTTTAAATTTCAATTTAATTTTAGTTTATAGAAATGGTTATTTTCTGTGAATAATTAATCATGATGCCTTGTTTCTTCATGTGCTTAGTTATTCTGTAGGTGGCTCATTTTCTTTCAAAAATTACTTGTGAGATTCAGAAGAGACCTAGGATAAATGTGTATTCCTAGAGAGGATTTTATGTTGTTTGTGCCAGGTGACTAGGGCACTCTTGCTTTATGTTAAATACAAATGCTCCCAGGGCAATAGTAGCATCAGTGTTCTGCTTGCCTCCCTGGGTTCCAGCCTTTAGAGTTTGGCCTGCTAATTTATTCTTATATTTTCAGCTTTTTGAAGCTTTTAAGAATATATTAAAAACATATTTCATCTATCATTTTAAGTTGTTTTTATCATCAGAGTTGATCCAAATAAATTAAATGACATATTACCAGAAGTGGAATTTCTAAAAGTCATGCTTTCATAAATTAAATTATTTTGGCATCATTTAACAATCAGTATAAAGAGGTACCTTAATCATTCTGACAGCTGCACACTATTCCATGGTTCGGTTATATCATATTTACCATACTCCTAATGATGGATATTTAGATTTTGATTGAACTTTGTTTATTAATACTACTTAAATGTTCCTGTAAAATCAGCTTTGCTTACATGTATAAGTATATGTTTAGAACAGATTTCTAGAAGTGAAACTGCAAGAGTAAAAAGATATGTGCAATTCACATTTTAATAGCTATAACAGGTTTCCTTCTGAGGAGGTTGGACCACTTTACATACTCAACAATACTGTTTTAGGGCTTCCCTGGTGGCGCAGTGGTTGAGAGTCCACCTGCCGATGCTAGGGGACACGGGTTCGTGCCCTGGTCCAGGAAGATCCCACATGCCATGGTGCGGCTGGGCCCGTGAGCCATGGCCGCTGAGCCTGCGCGTCCGGAGCCTGTGCTCCGCAACAGGCGGAGAGGCCACAACAATGAGAGGCCCACGTACCGCAAAAAAAACCCCAAAACTCAATACTGTTTTAGAATAATGCCTATTTATATTAAGAAAATTAATCCTTTGTCAAATATGTTCCAATTTCTTTTTATATAATTTGCCTTTTTATTTATTTTACTTTGTTTGGAGCACAGAAGTTTTTAATGTAATCAACCTCTTCCTTTATGGTTCTATGTCCATTATGTTTCATTTATCTACTGTTTACATTCACATCTAATATGTGTTCAGTAAGCATTTACTGAATTCACTTTAATATTAAAATACTTGCAAAAAAAATTTTTAAAGGGCCTGCAAAGTACAAATATTTACTATCTGGCCCTTCACCAAAAAACTTTGCCAGGGATAAAGGAAAAAGATAAATGACAACACAAAGAAATAGACAAATCAGAAAGGAGGGACAACTGGCCTGGCCTCCTCATTAGTGTCACTTTTTTCAAAACGGGGAGAGGGCATAATTCTAGATGAAAAGACCAATGAGACATATAATAATCAAGTGCAAGTGTAAACTGATTGGATCCTGAAAAAAGCAGCCATATAAAAACATTTTTGTGGCAATTGAAGCCATTTGAATATGGACTGAATAGTAAATAAGATGAAGAGATTATTATACTAACTTTCTAAGTGAGTAATGGTATCGGGGTTACATAGGAGAATGTCTTTATTTTTAGGAGATTCCTGCTAAAACACATAGGAGTGAAGTATTAGAAGATCTGTAACTTTCAAATGGTTCTGCAAAAACGTACAAATACATGTACATACACACACACACACAAGCAGAAACAGATGAGGAAATGTGATTTTTTATAAAGTAACAATAGTTGAATCTACATGGGGACTAGAGATAATCACTGTTTTATTCTATGAATTTTCTGTATATTGGAAAATTTTTATGAATGAAAAAAGGCAGGTTACATAAGAACAGGCATCTTATAATCACATTTCCATGTAAACTTGTATATATTCATTAAAAACATCAACAAGAATATGCAAGTTAAAGTGTTAAAATTGGTTATATCACAGTAGTGGAATCATAGGTAATTGTTAGTATCTCTTGAATATTTCTTGGCATAGTCTGAGTATTTTACAGGGAATGTGTGTTACCTTCGTACATTTGGAAAAAAAATCAAAAACTTTTAGAGAGCTTTGTATGGAAAACTTGAAGGTAAACTGATCATGTTTAGAACATGTCATGATTCATCATATTTGCTGCTCCTTTAAAAGAGTTATGGTATGCTGATCCTAAAAACTAGGAAGAATGTGTTTTCAAATGTCAGCCTCTATTTTATCTTATAAGGCTTATTAAATTTACATAATCTTACGACAAAAAGGAATCATGTTTAGATGACACATTTATAAGTAATGTCATAATAGCTTTTACAGAGGTACCAAAAAAGGAAATAGATCCTTTGAAATACAGGTTTCCCCACTACCCAAAAGTAGAGCATGCCTATGAAACCTTTTGAAAGCCATTATGAAATGATGTAAAGCAAAGAAGCAATTACCTTAGGACACATCTTGCTAAGGGATGCACAAAATAAATGGGAGATAAAGCACGGGTGCTCACAGACACAGGTCAAAGCTATGGCAGCTGGATGCTGAGATGCCGAACTCAGTCCCCAGGAAGGAGCTTGGCGGGGTTACTCTCGCTTCTCGGGACGCGAGGTGTAACGGCTCATCGCAAAACAAACGCTGAACGCTATTTTCGCTTTCGCCTTTTTTCATAAAAGCGAAAGTCCTCTTTGGATTTCTTTCGGTTAGCAAAAACAGGTGCTAACGCAGGTCTTTCGTAAAAGCAAAGTGGCATAAAGCAAAGTGGCATAAGGCGAACTTTCGAAAAGCAGGGGATACCTGTACCATATTTTTCCCTCCCAATCACTCAGTTTCTTATACTTTAAGGACCTTTCTTTCAATGTTTTTTCCTTCATTTAGAACAGCACTAATCCAAAAAAGCAAAAGCAGAAAGCAAAGACACTAACTTTCAATCTTCTTTCCAGAGGTGGAACCACCAAATAATTCTCTTTGCCGTCAAATAAGTCATCTTCATTGTAATCCAATGATTCACTCTAATAAATAAAACAATACACTAAAACTGAAATTTTGAAATAAACTGAAAATTCTTAAGATTAACAAAATACAATTAAAGTTTATCCAAAAGGCAGTGTGCCACAATACACATTGTTATATAAAAGACAAGATACATATTTTCCCCCTCATCTTCTCATAACTAGAAAAAAAATTATTATTTCCACTATTACCACCCACCTAACATTTGTATACTGCTTCAAAAAGTATCAGCTTGGGCTTCCCTGGTGGCGCAGTGGTTGAGAGTCCGCCTGCCGATGCAGGGGACACGGGTTCGTGCCCCGGTCCGGGAAGAGCCCACATGCCGTGGAGCGGCTGGGCCCGTGAGCCATGGCCGCTGAGCCTGCGCGTCCGGAGCCTGTGCTCCGCAACGGGAGAGGCCACAGCAGTGAGAGGCCCGTGTACCGCAAAAAAAAAAAAAAAAAAAAAAAGTATCAGCTTACTAGGCTTTTATAAAATCCCATAACTAGAGAAAATACGAATTATCCTCATTTTACTAATGGAAAAAGAAAACAGAAAAAAAAAACCCTGAGGCTCAGAGATGTTTTATATAGATCTGAAACTTCCAGAGTATTATTTTCCTTATGCTCAAAATCTTAAGATATTATGAACTGTTACTTCTTTTAGTAAAGCAGTTTCGCTTTATTTTGTTCCTTAATTAATCCAGTATCATCATGTTTATTGGTATAAAATGTGCTTTTCAGAAGCAATGATAAAGTTAATTTACAGTATTATTGTCACTTGAGTGAATACCAGATACACTATATTCCAAATTTATAACAAAAACACCTACACTAATATGTATAAAATAGATAACTAATAAGAACCTGCTGTATAAAAATAAATATTTTTAAAAAGTCAATTTGTATAACATTTGCTGAAAGAAGAGTCAATGTACTACTTAAAAGATTCAATGTATGTATTTTTAAAGTTCTAAAAGCTTACTTTAAGTATGAAATCAAAAATATTTAAAGGGTAAGTCAAAAGCTCTAAAGAGCTCAAATTTTCTAAAATGTTCTTAAGTAATGCATAAAAAGTAAACAGAACTTACTGAATAGTTTAAGTTGTCCAGGTCTGTTATTTTAAAGGAACTGAGGCAATCTGAATTCAAGGGGTCCTTAAAAAGTAGCAGTACTTGTTCAGTTCCAGTTCCAAGAAAGTCATCTATCAGTACTGAGCTAACTTTCTCCCACTTAGCAGCAACCTGAAAGAGAGTGTTAAAGAAGGAATAGAGAAAGAAAAAAATCAGATGTGAAGTAAGCTAAATCCTTTTGTTGCACGTAGCTCTAATTTGTCATCTTCAATCTTACAAACAAGCCATGAAAATGGTAGGGTAAACACTAAAAACTAAACTAAAATAAAGATATTGGGAGATGAGAAGACATAAGGAGTCATCAATTTATAAATAGCAAGGTACTGACATTTCTTTATCAACATTTGTCCAGGGACTGTCACGTTCCTGATTTCTATATTAAAATTTTATAATTTATAAATTCTAACACTTCTCATGACTAACTCTAGTGAAGATTCTTTCTCTAACCGGTTAATTTAAGGATGACCCTCACTCCCATAAGCCTTAGTGGATATGTATTTATGATCAAACCAATTAAACAAGGAATTCAGTGGCATTAGGTAACTAGACGGTACTAGCAAACACTTTAAGAGCTCTCAAAGCAGAATAACGTTTAAGAGTCCATATGAAATTAATTAATACCCTAAACTCTGGTAGGACAGAACAGTCATTATGAGGGGCACAGAAGGGGAGGGATCCTAATAGTAGGGCACCTAGAATCATCCTAGCCTAATGAAATGATTTCTTAGGTTTATACAAGAACGTGACACCCCAAGTTTAAAACAGAAGACAACTTCTTAAAGATCCATAAAGCTGAAAGCTTCCAGATTGGTTCCCTAGAAAACTAACACCATGGGGATCAGAAATCTCTTCTCCCTCAGGCAGAAAAGCTGAAACTCCCACTTAGAATCCCGCATGGATACATCATCCTCTAGGTGGAGGGTAGCCTGCATTACAGCAAGAACATAAGACTCAATCTATATAATGAAATATCAATCTTTCCCCTATAAGGTTAATTCCAAAGCAGTGATTTTTCACTCATGCAGGGAGAAAGCTGTAAACTCATATCCTCCCTTCCTCCCACTGCCCCACCATGAATAGCATGGACTATAATGAACCATGTGAAGAGACACTGGTAATAAGAATGTGCTCAGCACGCAAACACCATAGAGCTGTGCACGCATGCATGCACACACAAGCCTGCAATCTCTAGCTCTAGAATAGCGTCATCCAAAAGAAATATACGTGAGCCACAAATGCAAGGCACATATATAACTTTAAATTTTCCAGTAGCCAATAAAAGAAAGTTCTCTAGTAGCAGTAAAAAGGTGAAACTTATTTTATTTAATCTATCTAAAATATTATTTCAATTCAATATAATCAATAAAAATTATTAAAGAGATATTTTATTTCCATTTTTTACTAAGCCTTTGAAATCTGGTGTGTATTTGACATGGACAGCACGTTCTAATTCACACCAGCCACATTTCAAATGTTGAATCGCCACCTGCGGCTAGTGGCTACCGTATAAGACATCGCACCTTTAGAACATATTAGCCTCTTTCTATCTACAACACACCACAATCTGTTTCACATATACCTGACAATGATCTCAATTTTGAAATGCCTGCTACATAGATACTTGTCAAAACTTGCAGAGACAATTTCTTAGTTGTGGCATGTGGTATCTTTAGTTGCAGCATGCGGGATCTAGTTCCCTGACCAGGGATCCAACCCGGGCCCCCCCGCATTGGGAGCACGGAGTCTTACCCACTGGACCACCAGGGAAGTCCTGTGATAGAAAATTTAATTGAGCTTCTAATTAAATGGACAGGGCACATCAAGTAAGGCAGTATCTGCTTTTTTTCCCAAAGCAGCACAGGAACTTAAAAGACTGTATAATGTATTTAAAAAACTACTTTGGAAGATCTTAAACTATAAACACTTCATATCACATAAATGAATGTGCTGATAAACATCTTAAGCCAGGAGGACGCAATGTTAACAAAACACCAGGGTCAGAGAAATATTATCGGAGACGCACAGTTACAATCCTCCAACTTCCTTTTCATTTTCTGCACCTTTTTACTTGTTATTGAATGCTCAATACCAAGTGAGTATTTTAAAGCAATTTCCCAACCTTACATTAAAAGACATGACTACATGTAGATAAAATGTGAATGCTTGCTCAAAGGACAACTCTGAGTTTCAAAATGTAACATAATGAAATTCTCTAAGCAACCGTTTTTAGAAAAATTAATCCATCACTTTTCTCTGGAGAACAATTATTTGTCTCTAAAGGGACAATGATAGATTTCAAGGAATTCCTCTAGATTTCATTTTAAGTTTAAAACGATAA